TGTGCAGGGGTCTGAGGAGGGTCAGGTGGGAGGGGGTTCACTCAGACATCCCCAGCCCCAAGGAACATCTCCAATCCAGAGATACCCCAGTTCTGAGGGACTCTCCTTCCCATCTCCAGAGACACCCTGGCCCCAGAGATACTTCTGTTCCCCAGGGACCCTCCAACCCCAGGGGTGCCCCTCAGCTCCCAGCGACAGTCCTGGCCTCAGGGATGCCCCAGCCCCAGTAACACCCTTACTCCCAGAGTCACTCCCAGCGCCAGGGACACCCTAGCACCATATGAGCCCCATGACCCCTCCAGCTCCAGCTGGGCTGCCGCCCCCAGCTCTGCATCCCCAGTCTTCCATGGGCTCCCTTTACCCCGCTGTTCTTGCCCTCCCGTGAGGATCCCCAGTGCCCCCCCGGGCTCCTTTTCTGCGGGGTCTTGCCCTGCTGCGCCCCCGCACCGGGCCGACTCCTGCTTGTAGATGTCGATGATGTTCTCCACGAGCAGGTTCCGCTGCAGCCCGTAGACCCCGTGCCGGTCCAGCACCACCTCGTGCCGGCACGACGGGCACCGGAACCGTCCTCCCGATGGCACCGCGCTGGAGCCCCGCGACTGCCACAGTGGATTGGAAGCCTGGGGCGGGGGGGCACGCGGGGGTCACGACGGCGGCACCCCGCATCCCCGGTACACCCGGCAGACCCTGGCGGCCTCCCGCAACCCCCATCCAGGGAGCGAGACCCCGCCGGTGGGCGCCCCGCACCCCCCGGGCACGGGTATGGGCACAGGTGGGAACACAGACACGGGCCCAGCTTCCCACCCCCGCCGGCCGGGAGCGGCCCTGAGCTCCGCACAGCCGGAGGTCCCGGTGGCCGGTCCCGGGGCCGGAGCCAGGCCAAGACTCCCTCGACAAGGGGGCCCAGTGTTCCTGGCGCCGCTCGCACTCCCGCATCCCTGTCCTGGGGTTCCGGGGCTCCTGGTGCTGCCACAGGCCGGCCGGGGGTCCCGGTGCCCTCCCCGCCCCACCGGCGGGTCCCACCTGGAAGACGTCGTTGGCGCACTTGCGGCAGAGGTTGTGCTGGCAAGGCAGGATGACCACGGGCTTGGAGAACATCTCCAGGCAGATGGGGCAGATGAGCTGCTTCTCCAGGCTCTCCATGCTCCGCGCCTCCGCCAGCAGCGGCTTCAGCCCCACCGCGAAGTTCATGGCCGCGACCCCGGCCCGGCTCTGCCCCGCAGCCCCACTCCTCTCCGCTCTGGCCGCCGGTTACCCACTCTCTCCCGGTCCCGGCCCCCGGCGCTAATTTTAGCCGCCCCCGCCCCGCCGAGGCCGCAGCTGTCGGCGGCGTCGGGTGACACTGAGTCACGGCGCCACGGCGGGGGCCACCGGCCCTGCCCGGCCCCTGGGACCACCTGAGCCCACCAGGGACCGGCTGGTCCCGGCACCGGCTGACCCCGGAACCGGCTGATCCCCGGGGACCAGCTGAGGTCCTGGGATGGGCTGAGCTCCGGACTGGTTGAACCCCAGGGACCAGCAACCCTCTCCACCGTGCCCATCCCACCCCATCCCATCCCAGAGCCCTCAGCCCAGGCAACTCCAAGTGCGCTGGGTGAGCAGCAGGGCCTCCCCTGCTGCCTCCCACCTGGGGAGGATGAGGTCCCAGGGGACCAGGGCTGGCTGGTGCTGGGGCCACAGAGATGGAGGGGAGCAGGGTCCAGGCAGAGTGGGACTGGGAGTCATGTCAGTGTGTGTGGGGGTGCCCCCTCCTGCAAGCGGCTGGGCCAGGGGAGGTTGGGATCCCCCAGACCCCACAGCTCAGGCCCAGTGTCAGCAGAGTGGCAATGCTGGTGCCAGGGCCCCTCCGTCTGCACTCACCCTGGAACCCTGGCTATATTTAGGGGGTGAGACAGAGCCCATGCAGCTGCAGATAGAGGTGGTGACCAGAGTAGGAGGAAAGGGCGAGGGGCTCACTGTGTCCCCCTCAGCCCCCTCCCTGACAGCCCTGGACCTCCACGGCTGTCACAGCTCCCCAGAGGTCAGGGTAGGAGCAGGGGGCCTGGCCAGGCAGTGGGGAGCAGGGCTCCAGGACTACAGCAGCAAGGAGAGGGAAGAGAAAAGCCTATGGGAGCCAGCAGCAGGGCACACAGAGTGCTTCGAGGTAGGACAGGTGGGTGGCAGGACACAACTGACACTCACCCCACTCAGGACATGACCTGCCTACTCCATACCCCATTCAGCTCACCACCCCATGGGACTCATGGGCACAGCACCCAGCACAGGCAGGGCCAGGCAGAGGCATATCCTGTTGAGGAGCATTCCAGCAGTCCCAGATTAGCCCAGGCAGACGCGTACTCCCCTCCCGTCAGTCTTTAATGGTGCCCACAAAACCCAGAAGATGAGCCCAGAGGGCAGAGGAAAGGGGTACAGACAACAGCACTCTGACCCCACAGCAGTGTTTGGCACCCAGCAGCCATTGGGAGGGTCCTGTGGGCGGGGAGCGGGCTCAGCCCAGCCCCAGAGGTTACAGTGCTAATGGTCTCCGACACGCTCGGCTGCCCTGCGTGAGCTACGGAGCCGGGCCCAGAGCGCTCTCTGCTTGTGCTCAGTGCCGGGCAGGGCACGGCAGCAGGCGAGGCACTGGGGGGGTCGCAGCAGTGCGGGCTCTGGGCCACCACCACCACCAGTGCTGGGATGCAGGGGCATCACCCCGGAGCTCGAGCAGGGGCCCAGGAGCCTCTGCATTGATGCTGGCCAAATTAACCTGAGATTCTATCCCTGCTGGGGCTGGAGAGCAAGCCCAGCGGGCGGGACTGGGGTCCCAGAAAGTGACAGTCCTAAAGAAGGATCCATGCCCTGAGTCCTGGGGAAGCCAGTGGGACAGGGTCAGCCTCAGGCATCAGTCCTGGTGCTGGCAGCTGGCAGTGGCTCTGTGCTGGCAGGCGGGGGCTGTGCCACAACAGGGATTTGCGGATCTGGAAAGGAAGAGCTGCAGATCAGTGGCTCAGCCCCACCTCGTGGTGCCAGCAAGTAGGAATCTGGGATGTCCCCACACCCCTGCGAGGGCTCCCACAGCCCAGAGTTCCCACACCCGTGGCCAGCACAGAGCCCTGTGGCAGTGCCCCCACCCCACAGAAACCTGTGGCAGTCACCCAGCATCAGCCCCATCGACACCAGCATTGCCAGTGCCAGAGAACGGAGCCAGCCTGGAGCATGGCCGCTCTTCCCATGCTCCATGCCCCAGAGAGCACAGGTAGGGTCTCTGAGTCTCAGGCCTATTCAGGGGAGCCTTTGCCCAGGGGCAAATGGGGAAGGAGAAGGCATCCCCATGGGCCATGCAGTGGCTCCCTCTGTCACTGTCACCTGCTCTAGCCCACACAGAAAACACCGAGGACTGGCTGGCTGTGGCTAAATCCGACCCAAGCCCTGAGCCAAAGCTCCATCCCTCATGGGAGATGTGACAGGGGGAGACCCTAGAGTCCCCAACAAATCAAATGCAGGCAGTCCCAGCAACTGGGGCTCCAGCCTAACCCAGCCCGACTCACCACTGTCCTCTGCGCGCATCTGCGCCTCCAGGTCCTTGGGGTCCACGTACTTGTAGGACTCTTCCTCCTTGGGCGGGCAGCATGTCCCACAGCAGAAGAAGCAGCAGCAGCAGCAGCAGCAGCAGGTGAGGACACCGCAGCACAGTGCCAGCGCCTGCAGGAGGGACAGAGGCACCGTGAGCTCACCTGAGCCCCTGGTCCCTGACATGCTGGTCCTGTGAGCTCACCTGAGCCCCTGGTCCCTGACATGCTGGTCCTGTGAGCCCACCCGAGCCCCTGGCATGCTGGAAGAGACGGTGGCCCACTGAGCCCATGGATCCGGATGACGCTGGCTCACCTGGAACCACCACTTGGACATGAGGAAGTAGTGCCGGACGGCATCGTCACCGAACTGCTCGGCCACATAGAGGCCGAGGGAGCCGTACTGGTCGTAGAGGCGGCGCTTGTCCGCGTCGCTCAGCGTGGCGTGGGCGCTGTTGATCTCCTTGAACCGCTCGGCCGCCGCGGGGTCATCGGGGTTCTTGTCCGGGTGGTACTTCAGGGCCAGCTTCCTGCGGGGCGCGGCGGGGGGACCCCCGGCATGGGGTCACGGCCTCGCTCCCCGGGACAGACCCAGAACCCGGGGATGGTAGCAGGACCCCCGGGACAGGAGCACAGCCTCGCTCCCCGGGACAGACCCAGGCCCCCGGGCTGGGACCAGGGCCACCAGGGCGGGATCCCGGCCGCGTTCCCGGGACGGACCCGCACGCCGGGGCTCGCGGAACGACTCCCCGGCCGGTCCCCTCCCCCAGACCCCACCGGATACCCCCCGTACCGATAGGCCTTCTTGATCTCCTCGGGGGAGCTGCCCTTCTGCAGCCCCAGCACGCGGTACAGGCTCTCCCCGACCCGGGACAGCTTCCGCTGCGGCCGCGGAGGCTCCGCCATGGCCGCGCCGAGGGCCCCGGGGGTCGAAGTGGACGCGACACCGACTGCCCCGCACCAGCCCTGCCCGCGCCCGCCGCCGCTTCCGCCCGCTCTGCGCAGGCGCCGCCCGCGCCCCGGGACGAAGGGCAAGGGTCGGGCCGGACACCCCGCACCGGGGACACGGTGGTGGCTGTGGCTGAATCCGGACACCCCGCACCGGGGACACGGTGGTGGCTGTGGCTGAATCCGGACACCTCGGCCCCGGACACCCCGCACCGGGGACACGGTGGTGGCTGTGGCTGAATCCGGACACCCTGGCCCCGGATACCCCGCACCGGGGACACGGTGGTGGCTGTGGCTGAATCCGGACACCCCGGCCCCGGATACCCCGCACCGGGGACACGGGCCCGGCCCCGGACACCTCGGCCCCAGACACCCCGCACCGCCCGGCTCCGGGACGCCTGTACTGCCCCTGGCCCGGTACGGGGAGACCGGTGCACCGCTCACGGCCCCGCGGCGGCAGGAGGCGGCACACGAGGGTCGCGCTGCTCCTTTATTGATACAAAACGGCGGCTGGGGCAGCGGGAGGGAGGAAGGCGGGGGGTAACGGCACGGCCGGGCCCCAGGACCGTGCTGGGGGTCACGGGCAGACCCCAGGGCCCCGGAGCCTCCTGCTGCCGCCGGGGTGGGGCGAGGCTGCCGCTGCCGTTTGGAAGAAGAACCTGAGCAACAAGGGCAGCACCGGGGATGCCTCGCTGCCCCCAGGACAGCGTCTCTGCTCTGCGCCCCGGGGCTGGGACTCCACCGGGAGAGCAGCTGGTTGCCAACCCCCCCTACTCCCGAGGCCGCAGGGTGGGGATGGAGTGCGGACTGGCAGGGATGGAGTGTGGATCGGCGGGGAGAGAGTGGGTCCATGAGGTCCCAGTCCCTGATGTTGGGGGTCCTGCTGGAGAGCCTGGGGCTGCCCACAATAAATACAAATAAATACGGATTCCAGGCACGAAGCTCACCCAGTGCTCAGTGGGGACCAGGCCCTGTCCCCCCACTCCCCTGGGGAGAGGGTAAGCAGCCCCTCAGGCACAGCTGTGGGGAGACCACCACTCCCTCTGGAGGCACGGCTGACCAGAGTCCCAGAGGCAGGGCTCAGAGAGCAAGGAATGTGCTGAAATGCCCCCTCTCCCTGGGCTGCATGAGAGGTCATCCCTCCCTCCTCCTCCTCTTCCTCCTCCCTGGGGAGGATTGGTCCTTTGGGGTGGAGGGAGGCCAGCAGCGAGGCGCTTGTTTTGCAGGTCCTGAGAGCCAGATGGGCACAGGCTGGCAGGATGGAGCCCCTACAGGGGGCAGGGGTAGGGGCCGGCCCTGCAGCCAGCCTGGCCAGTGGCCCCGTGGCTGACCAGCTCAGCAGTTCACGCCGTCACTCTCACACCAGCCTGAGGGGCCATCAGTGCCGAAGTATCTGTCCCCAAAGTTACCTGGAGGAGGAGGGGACAGAGTGAGGGGGATGGTAGCACCGGCCCCAATGCAATAGAGTCCCCTCAGTGTGGCCGTGGGGCTCCCTCCAGGGTGCTGGGCCTGGCTGTGAGGCACAGCACACCCTCATCCCCCTCACCGATGCCCGGGATGATGTGGAACTCCTCGTTGACCCGCTTGTCCACGGCGGTGGTGATGATGCGGACACGGGGAAAGGCATAGGCCACAGAGTGCACCCCCATCTCTGCCATCAGCAGTGACAGCAGGAAGATCCTGTCCTCCTGCACGTCGTGATCCTGCGGCACACGGAACTCTGAGAGCCTGGCTGGGCACAGAGGGTCCCACATCCCCGCACCGCCACCCCGGCCCCTCACCAGCAGGACACGCACGGCCATCATGGCCGCAGCCCCCGTGGATACAGTGCTGTCCATGAGGATGACGTAGTCCTCGCTGATCTCCTTGGGCAGGCGCAGGTAGTGGAGCTGGGGGGGGAAGGAGGGGCGGTTGGTGACCCGTTGGTGCTGTGTGGCCACGTACCAGAGTGCAGCGGGGCTCACCTCGGGCTCCCCTGTGTCCAGGTTGGTCTGGATGAGGATCTTGCCCAGGCGGATGTCCTTGCAGACGGCAGTCAGGGCTTGCTCCATGGTCTCTCCTGCTCGCAGGATGGACACGCCGGTGATCTGGGGAAGGAGCAGCGACACATGTGCTGGGCGCTCCCAGTGCAGATGTGTGCTCATGTGGAGCAGGGGGCCAGGACCGTGTCTCACCCGCTGCCTGTGGAACCGTTTCCCCTCGTATGTTGTGCCCTGGGGCGTCTCCACAGTGACCGACTGCAGAAAGGGGAGCACAAGGGAGTGCGAGGGAAACCAGGCCTCACGTGGCCCAGGGGCTCAGGAGGAGGAACAGGGATGGGGCTGTGGCTGCACCCAAGAGCAGCCACTTACCTTAAGTGGGAGGAAGGACAGGGCATGTTCAATCAGCAGCCGCATCAGGCGCTTGGAGTAGAAGATGAATTCATCCCTGGTTGTGTCCTTGTTCCTGGGAGGAAGAACATGCATGAGATGGGAGCAGAGACACCACTATTTCCCTGCAGATGGCATGTAGGGCTCCAGAGGCCATCCGTCAGAGAGAGCAGTCCCCGTCTGTGGGAACCAGAGCCCTCTCGGGGTGACACAGTCAGTGATCACCAGCATTTCAGGACTCAGAGGCCTTGGCTGTTATCTTAGATGGGACCACGGAGTAAGAGAGGGGCTCAGTTCTCCTGGGAGTGGGACACAACACTGTCTACAGACAGTGGAGAGAGCTGGGAGAGAATGAGGGATGGGAGCAGGTCAGGCAGCACCAGCGGTCCTGGGGCAGCAGAAACTCAGGAGCAATGCGTGAGTGTTGGGGAGTCCAGGGGGGAACAGGAGCAGAGCCAGGATGGATCAGGATCTCACCAAGGAAGAGACCAGAGTGCACCGTGGCTGGGCATGCTGGATGACGGGAAAAGGTTAAACACATCCCCAGCCCCTCCCTCTATGTACCAAGTCAGAGATAAAGCACTGCCAGGAACCAGGTGATATGGACATACCCGGCATGCCCTGCTCACAGCCCGGATGAGCTGAGGGCAGTGAGAAGTAAAACAAACATAAACTAGAACAAAGCTGCCACAGAGCTGCAATTCCCAGGAAACCTCTCCCCTCCCTCAGGAGGGGTTAAGTCAGCCCTGTGTGCAGGGCACCGATCCCACAGCAGAGGGAAAGCACCTGGCTTTTCCTACCCGGAGCGCTTTGGCCACCAGCCTTGAGGGGAACGTGAGGACAAAGGAGCTCCACAGACATGTGCTTGTTCCCAGATGGAAGAGGTGGAGCTGGCAATGCTCCAGAAAAGGCAGAAGGATATTGAATATTTTTACTCTACATTTTAAGACATCATCTGCCGCTTCTCACACCTCTGAGAAGGTGTGACAGACAGCTGACAGACACTGGCTGACAGACAGCCCCACCGAGGCGCTCGAAGGAGGACCAACAGTCACTGCTGTCCCCGGGTGTTCCTGCAGCCATTCCGGGGACACTCATGGGCAAGCACCTGCAGTGACCACGGCAGCCCATGGACACAGACATTCCCAAATCCCCAGGCATAGCTGGCACCCCGCTGGAAGGCAGAAAATAACTTGTGGTCTGGAAGGAACAGGCGCCCTGCCTACGGCTCCCAGCACGGGCTGTCAGCACGCACTCACGCATGGGCTGCACCCACACACACACCCACAGCAACTCGGGAGCAGCACGAGCCTGGCAGCTGCCCTGCCTCCAACGCAGCCTCTCCTGTCACAGGCAGCTGCCCCTGCTGAGCCCCGCACCGGCTGTGCCGGCCCTGACTGGGTGGGACAGGACCCAGAGTGCTCCTGCAGAGACAGGTCCCTCTGGGGATGGGGGAGCACCCCTGGCCCCACCGTGCTGCTTTTCCTGTGGAGGCACAGACAACTATGAAAATTCTCCTCAGCCAGGGCACGAGCAGCTTCGGTGACACAGGGGGAAGGGGCATGCGAGGGAGGGCAGCCAGACACCCCTGGCAGCAGCAGGGGACCAGGATCACTCCACCAATGCCACCATTCCACCCCCTCAGCTGGCAGAGCATTCCCAAAGGGGACACCATTGTCCCAACACCAGTCCACTCACCCACTGAGGGCACACACTGCTCCCATCTGTGGAGGGGGCACAAGAACTGTGGCACACAGGGAGCCTGCAGCTGGGCATGGCAGCACCACAGCTGGCACTCCTGAGGACCTCAGCCTTCCCAGGCATACTCAGGAGATAGCAGGAGGGCACTGGATGGCCTAGAGGGACTGGGAGCATCTGCCTGGAGCTTGAGTTGGCTCCACTCACAAACAGGATTGTCTGCAGCCAAGAGCCAACTGGCCCAGCCAGGCACCAGGAAACCTGGGCATGGATGGGCTAGAGTCCCAGAATGGTATGGGTCAGGAGGGACCTTAAAGGTCATCTTGCTCCAGCCCCCTGCTGTGGGCAGGGACACCTTCCACTATCGCAGGTTGCTCCACATCCCATCCAACCTTGCCTTGAACACTTCCAGGGATGGGGCAGCTTCTCTGAGCAACCTGTGCCAGAGCCTCATCACCCTCACAGGGAAGAATCTCTTCCCAATATCCCCTCTAACCTGCCCTCTGGCAGTGGAAAGCCATTGCCCCTTGTCCTGTCATCGCATCCTTCGTACCTCATCCATCCTCAGCCTCATGACTCAAACTGTGCAGCTATCCTAGTGCGAGGCTCATTTTCAGTTTCCACCCCTCCACAACAACAGAAAATCGCTCTGGAAAGCACCTCCCCCAGGATGCCAGCCTGGATCTGCTGTGATGCTGCTCATCTGCTGCCACCAACACCCTCCCAGCAGACAGACGGGTGGAGCACGAGTAGCCTCTGGTGTGGAACAAGAGGGAACGGTGCTGGCTGGCAGCAGCCTGGCACGCCAGGATCGACCGGCTGCGTCTCACGGAGATGCGCTGGGAAAGGCAGGATGGGAAAAGGAGGGAGGGGAATCCTGGCTCGCAACTCTGCAGTGATCCAGGCCCAGGTTTGGCACCTCAAGGCGCTCGGAAAGGCTGTGCTGGTGGGAGCAGCAGCACTCCACGAGCACTGCGAGTGGGGACGGTGGCACCATGGCAGATGGAACCTGGTCTAGTGGAAGGTTCCCTGCCCATGGCAGGGGCTGGACTAGGGGGCCCTTAAAGGTCCCTCCCACCCAAACCATAGTGTGATTTGATGCATAAAGACTGCTGGGATGCAGTAACCTTGCACACAGAGCTGCAGGAAGTGTGGCAAAAAGTGTGTTTGGTCCCCGCCAGCCTGCAACTCTCCGGGAGACCGGGAGAAGGGCAGCAGGTAAGAGCAGCAGCTTGGGAGCAGAGAGTCCCACGTGGGGACCAGACACAGCCCTACACTGCACCCAAGTCATGCAGAGGCCAGCAAGTGCTGACAAGTCTCACACGAGCTGCCTCCCTGTCCCCTAGCACAAGCACTTCTCCCAGCAGAACTCCTTGGCTCAGGGATTTGGGAATGGCACTGCCCCAGCCCCAGTAGGATCTGAGGAGGCAGTGGATGGGCCAAACTGACACCCCTCAGAAAACACAGCCTTTCTCAGTTACCATCTGGAAGGGGCTCAGACCATCACCCTCAGCTCCACTCACATGGCATCGGCACAGGAACTCGAGGCCAGCGGTGCCACAGGCCCCAGGAACAGCCCAACCCCTGCCAGGCAGCTCAACACAGCCCTGAGCCTCAGCAGATTAAGGTCATCAGGCAGTTGTGGCACAAGGCAGAGGCACAGCCTGGGGGAGGGACATGGGCCCTGGCCAGGGCTGTGCCTGGCACAGCTTGTGGTGCCACATCACCTGTTCTACTGCTGTGACCCACCTCAGAGCCTGCGCTTCCCTCAGGAGGGAGGAGCAGGGAGAGGAATGTACAAGGCGGTGCCCAGCCTGCATGTGGTCATAAGAATCACAACAGCATAAATTGTTTGGGTTGGAAAAGCTCTCTGCGACCATCAAGTCCAAACACTCCCTCAGCACTGCAAAGGCTACCACTGACCATGTCCCCAGGTGCCACATCCACACGGCTTTTAAATCCCTCCAGGGATGGGGACTCCACCCCTGCCCTGAGCAGCTGTGCCAGGGCTGGACAGCCCTTTCCATGAGGAAATATTCCTTAACTTCCAACCTGACCCTCCCCTGGCAGAGCTTGAGGGTATTCCCTCTCCTCCTGTCCCTTGTTCCCTGGGAGCAGAGCCTGACCCTGACTCCCCCCTCCTGGCAGGGAGTTGCAGAGAGTGACACAGTCTCCTCTGAGCCTCCTTTTCTCCAGGCTGAGCCCCCCCAGCTCCCTCAGCCACTCCTGCTGCTCCAGCCCCTTCCCAGCTCCGTTCCCTTCCCTGCCCACTCTCCAGCCCCTCCCTGTGTCTCTGGTGTGAGGGGCCAGCCCTGCCCCAGCACTGGGGGTGCCCCAGCAGTGCCAGCACAGGGAGGGCACTGCCCTGGCCCTGTGACACAGCAGTGCCCCATTGGCCTCGTGCCCCCCTGGGCACAGCCGGGATCGTGTCCAGCCGCTGCCACCAGCACCCCCAGGGCCTTTTCCAGCTTTCCAGCCCCTCTGTCCCAGCCTGGAGCATTCCATGGGGTTATGGTGACCTAAGGGACTATAGGACCTGGCACTTTGCGTTGTTGACCCTCACACCACTGCTCTTAGTCAATCAGTCCAGCCTGTCCAGATCCCTCTGCAGGGCCTTCCTGCCCTCCAGCAGATCCACACTCACGCTCATCTTGGTCTCATCTGTGAATGTACGAAGGTGCACTCAATCACCTCCAGATCTCTGACAAGGACACGAGGTTCCAAACCAACACAAAGGTGCCACACCACCACAGCGTGCACAGGAGGGCCCGGCTGAGCTCAGCATTTCCTCTCTGCTGTGCAGAAACACACACTGGGACTGCCAGATTCTGCAGCAACAACAACAGGGAATCCCTCAGTGGTTCCATGGAACCCAGGCCCTGACCCTGCACTAACACTACTATCACCTGGAGAAAAAGAGCATCAGAGAGGAATGAAAAGATCAAGGGGGTGGTGAAGTCATGGAAGCAGCAGCCCAGATTCCTTCTGTAAGCTAGGTGTAAACTCAAGTGCCCTGGGAGAGGGGTAGGAGGCACCCTGCCCTGTGTCACCAGCCTGTGTTCCAGTGAGGAAAGAGCCAAACAGTCCCCTCTTTGTAGCAAAAGGCAGCCCTTGCCTCAGGCATCACCCAGGGCAAATGTGCCTGTGGGCCAAGGCCAGCTCAGCTGTTCTGCTCCAGGCCAACACCCTCCCGCAGCAAAGGGAAGGAAAATTCCCCTCAGGCCTTGTGATGTGATGCCACCTAGCAGCCTGGAGGAGGGGCAGAGACGTACCTGATGATGGTGTGCATGCCCCGCACCTGCGGTGTGCTCTCCAGGACGCTCAGTGTCTTCGGCAGTGGCTGCCCTTGGTGGGCAGAGGCCAGGGCTGCCCTGCAGAGAGAAAGCGGGTCAGAGCCATGTAGCACAAGCAGAGCCACCACGCTGGGCCCTCTGAGGGACACGGCCCCGCTGAAAGAAGGCTTCAGAAGACCTCTCTACACAGGTTGGTCACCAGGAAGCACATGGTCTTCCCGCCTGGATCCTGAGGAATGACCCACGTCTGGTACCAGGTAGCAGAGAGAGACCCGGGCGAATCTCCCAGATCACACATGCTGCTGCTGCAGCCTCCACAGCACCAGCCTCAGCCAGTGCGAGAAGCAGCAGCTCTGCAGTGGCAGGACCATCCCACACACCCTGGGACCAGGCTGTGCCAAGGGACAAGGGCTGTCCCATCGAGAGAAGACATGAACTCCCAGGGAACATGGAGCACGCAGGGCACTTTCTGTGGAAGCGAACAGCCCAGGATAACCCAGCACTGGGGGCAGGAGCCCCTCTCCAGACAGGGATAGGAGCAGGGTGGAGAGCTGACTGCATACATCAGGCGCAGTGTGAGACAGCTCATGTAGAGCCCGCAGCTGTGGCCACACAAGCCCCAGGGAGCTGAGAGCAGCCACTGCAGCATCGAGGAGCAGCTACACTTGGGCACCTCAGCAAAGGTCTGCCAGTGGTGATGGGGAGGCGGCAGGATTCAGGATCCAGCAGGTGCCAGCAGCCCCCCACCCCAGCCCGGAACCAGCCCCTCTGTGCAGCAGGTCCCACGTACCTGACTGTGATCTCACGCTGGGTGGTGGAACGGTCATCGGCGCAGCACAGGGGGACACAAGGACACCCAGTCAGTCACTCACAGGCCAGCACAGCCACCATGGGCAGCCTGGCCAGCTCCCACCCTCTTCCCCAGTGCCCGTCTCACAGCTCTGCTGCCCTGAGAGCTGCGCTGAGGCCTTTTGAGAAGAGAGACGTGACACGGAGCCCCCCTCGGTGCTCCAGGATCACAGGGCTGTGCACAGCCCCCTCCTGCCCTCTACATGCAGGACTCTTCTGATCCTTGCCCCAGCTCACCTTCTCCAGCTGGCTGTGCACGTGCTGCACGATGAGGTCCAGTGCCACAAAGTTTTCCCCACCTGAGAGGGGAGCAGAGGAGCCAGGTGGGACAGATGCTGACCCACCCCTGCCCCAAGACACCCGTTCTCAACAGTGGGATCAGCTCTGGCCTCACCCCTGGGCACCACGATGTCAGCGACCTGCACGGTGGGCTCGATGTACTGCTCGAAGGCCGGCTTCACAAACTTGTTGTACTGCTTGATGACCCCCGCGACGTCACGCCCGCGCTCCATGATGTCGCGCTGCAGTCGCCGCACCAGCCGGATGTCAGAGTCCGTGTCCACAAACACTTTCATGTCCAGGAGCTAGAAAACTGGGAGGGGTGAGCACGCCCTATGCAGCCCCGGTCACACCTGCCTCGTTCCCCTTGGCTGCCCAGCCACGGCACCCAGCGTCACCTCCCCCGGGGCTTCTGGCACAGGGTGTTCTGCCAACGAGCGCGGTGACCTCTCCCTCCACAGCCCCCACCGCTGCAGTGGCACCCAGGGCAAGAGCCTGTCCCATCTCCACAGGTCCCCTCCAGCACAGAGCTGGGCCAGTGGCTGCCTCAGGCAGCAATACCTTGAGCAGCTCCTTGTTGGCGAAGGCCAGGATCCCTTCGAACACGATGACATTGGCACCGTACACCGTTTTCTGCAGGCAGACAGGAGCTGTGCTCATCCTGTCCCCTTCATACATCACAGGAGCACCAGTACAGGCACTCCCTCACACCCCTGGACTCTCCGTAACTATCCTGGACTACTCAACCTCTCAGGGTCCCTGCTCACACCTGCACACCACACTCCAGCCCAGCACAGACTCTGAGCCTGGCTCCAGACCCCAAACCTCTGCCCAATGCCTTCCCCTCAGGCCTCATCCTTCCTCCACACTGAGCCTCTCCCTAAACTCTTTGCTAGCCTGTTCTGAGATCCATTCCCATGCTCCTGCAGTCTCTACACATCCAGTATGAGCCTGGAACGAGCCCCCCACACCTGATGATCCCCAGCCCCTCCCTCCCTTAACTCTCCCAGCTCCCAGAGGTGCTCCCCTGCCTGGGGCTCTGACCCCCAGGCCCAGCCTGGCCCTAAGACACCCACCCACTCACGGCGCCGGCTGTGCGTGGTGAAGTCATACACTGGCACCTTCACGCTCTTTCCCTTCTTCAGCTTGCGCAGGACGCTGATGAGCAGCTCGAAGTCGAAGGCATCGGGGTGGTCAAAGTTGTAGTCGCTGCGGGCTGCCAGCGCCTGCTGCCCCTCATCCAGCACCTGCAGGCATCAGCACCACTCAGTGCCACGCTGGATCCCTGAGCACTGTGCAACCCCCAGGCACGGGCGCCGCTCAGCGCCGCGCCGGACCCCCGGAACCAGAACTGCCCACGGCCGCACTGGAGCCCCGACCACCGCTCTCAGCACCACGCTGTACCCCTGAGCCCCAGCACCGCTCAGCGCCGCGCCGGACCCCCCACCCTCACCTTGTAGAAGGAGTCCATGGAGAGAAGCACGACCCAGGGCACGTCCAGCGCCTCGATGATCCGAGTCGCCACCGTGGTCTTGCCCGAGGCGCTGCCGCCGCACAGGCCTGCGGAGAACGGGGGGCACCGCCCGGGCCGCGGATCCGTCACGGCCCCGGATCCGGCTCCAGCTCTGTCCCTGTCCCAGCCCCTCCCCGGCCGTGCCTCGGGGCCCAGCTCCAGAATTTCCGACTGCAGCTCGATCCCCTCCCCGGCCCCGGCTGTATCCCCTCCCCATCCCGCTCCCGCCGCTCACCGATGACAAAGGCCTCGTCCACGGGCGCGCCGGTCTCGCTGTACCAGGGCGGCCGCCCGGCCGTGTAGATGGTCCGCTTGCTGGTGCGCAGCAGCGGCGGCTCCGGCTTGCACTGGCTGGCGGTGCGGCGCCGCGGGGCCGGGGCGGGCGCCAGCGGCAGCCGGCTGAGCAGCGAGCCCAGCGGGCCGGGGCTGCGCTCGGGCCCCGCCGCCCCCCGCGCCCCCGCCGCTCCTCCGCTCCCGCCGCCGCCATCGCCGCGCGGGGCCGTGGGGCTGCCGGACGGGCCGCGCTGCACACGGCCCCGCGGGCTGGCCCCGCCCCTGGCCCTGCCCTGGGACGGACACACCCCGCCCCGGCCACCCGCGACACCCCCGCGACACCCCCGCGCCGGGGACTGCATCTCCATCCCCGCCCCGGCCACCCGCGACACCCCCGCGCCGGGGCTGCACCCCTTCCCCGGCCACCCGCGACACTCCCGCGCCGGGGCTGCACCCCCATCCCCGCCCCCGCCACCCGCGACACCCCCGCGCCGGGGGCCGAGGTCCAGCCCCTGCCCGTGGCACCCCCGCCCCGGGAAAGGTTCCAGGGTCCAGCCCCTGCCCGTGTCTCTGGCAATATTTTGCCTAAATCAGCCCAGGACGCCCCTCGACGCCTTCGCAGCAAAGGCTTGTTGCTGTTTTGTGGTCAGTTCGGTGTTCAGCAGGACTCCCGGGGCCTTTTTTGTGGAGCTGCTTCCCAGCCGTGCGTCCCCGGCCCGTCCTGGAGTGGTTCCTCCCAGGGCAGGACCGGCCACTGCCCCGTGCTGACCCTCCCCAGGCTCCTGCCCGCAGTCGCTCCAGCTCGTTCCGGTGCTTCCACACTATGGAGCAGAACACCCCGCCGGGTGCAGTCGCCCCTCCTTGCTGGGTGTCACCTGTCACCGTGCTCAGGGTGCTCTGCCCGGCCTCCAGGTCCCTAATGACAGCGTTAGACGGGACTGGACCCAGTACTGACCCTGCGATACATTGGTCATTACCGGCCACTGACCACCCTGTTCTGGTCTCAGCCGTGCAGCCCGTGTTCACTGCTCCTCGCGGCTCATCCAGCCCACGCTCCCACAGCTTCTCTCAGAGGATCCCACGGGATGCAGCGTCAAATGCATTCCTGAAGCCTGGGTGGGCACTGTCCCCTTCGTTCCCCTTGAGCACCAGCTCCGGCATTTCACCGCGGAAGGTGATGGGGTGGTCAGGCACGACAGCGCCCTTCCTGTCCCTCTCGTGCTCAGAAGATTCCCGGGATCAGTTGTGTCACCACCTGCCCAGGGACAGAAGCGAGGCCGAGCCCTACCCCCAAAAGCCCCCCCGTGAAGGCAGCCCGCCCTTACACACGGCTCCCACGTATCTCAGCATATGGATATGCCTGGAGATCCATTGGACTCCCACACCCGAGAACCCCCTGCACCCCGCCCCGGACGCCCCTCCCCGGTGTTCGGAACGGCGGCACCGGCGGGCAAGACCCCCCCTGTCCTGCAGCCCCGCGGGGGGGCGGGGCCACGGCGGGGGGCGGGGCCCAGCTGTGCCGGTGCCAGTGCCCGGTGCCCACGGTGCCGGTTCCCGGTGCCCACGGCGCCGCTCGCGCCCGGGATGGAGCCCCCGACCGGCACCGAGAACGCCCGCCTGGTCAGCCCGCGAGGCGGCCACGCCGACGGCAGCCTGCGCCTCAAGAGGTACTGCCGGCATCGGCACCCATCGCCCCGGTACCCCATCACCCTCACCACCGTCATTCCATCACTGTTACCTCCGGCACCGCCGGCATCGGCACCTGCATCACCGGCACCCCCATCACTGGCACCCTCATTGCTCCGGCACGTCCGGCACCGCAGTCACCACCGGCACTTCCATCACCACCGGCACCTCAGCGCCCCGACATCCCCATGACCGGCACTAGCACCTTCATCACCGGCACCCCCGTCACCCCGGCACTGCCACCCCATCAGCTCCCAGGGCTCCCGGCAATTCCTCGCACCGCCAGCTCCATCATCCCCCCCCAGTTGCAACCCCGGGTCCCCCCACACCCGCACTGCCGGCACCGGCTCCCCCATTACCCCCTGCATCTCCGTCGTCCCCAGCTCCCTTGGCACCCGCAAGCCCACGGCTCCCTCCCTCCCGGCACCGGTACCCTCGGCACGTCCCTCTCCGCCCGCCCCCGTGTCTTCATATATCCGACACGGACATCAGCACCTCCGCAGCCCCCGCGCCAGCCCTGACCGTCCGCCACCGGCACCCTCACCCCGCCACCGGCACCCGCGCCCTCCTTGCTCCCGGTACCTCCGCTAAAGCGGAGCCAGTCCCTTCCGTGCGCCAGCCCCGCTCCCCCCTCGGATGTCCGTCCGGCAGCTACCGGGGCCCAAACGTCACCGACGCACACCGGTACCGTCCATCCATCACCCGCCCACACCGGTACCGTCCATTCATCACCCCCCCTAGCCCGGTTCGCTGTCCGTCGCCACTCCCGCACGGCTGCCCCACGCACCAGCGCCCCGGCCCCCGCCTCCTTTACCACGCCTCACGTCTCCGCACCGATGCCCTGTCCCATAGTCCGGCTCCAGGCGCAACACCTCGGTCCCGCTGGCACCTCCCCGCGGGTACCCGCGCCGCCCCCGGCTCCAGTCCCGGCGGGAGCCCCGTGCCGCCGCCTCCTGCTGCCGCCGCCGGCCCCTTTGCTACCCATCCCGCCGGGGGGGGGTTCAGCCAGTGTCCCATCGATTGCCTGGCTGCGGACCCCAGGGTGGTAGCGGGACCCTCGGCGTGCCAGGCAGGGGCACGGGAGACGGTGTGGCCAACAGCGACTCCCGCCCCCAGTCTGTTCACAGGCTCCCAGGACCACCCTGCACTGGCGCCTCACCCGGCTTCAGCTCTCCACTGCCGCTGCAGCCTCCCGGCCCCCAGCCCCGGGCGGGACAGGCTCCCTAGCCGGCAGCTGAGAGTCGCCTGCGCCGTCTGCTGCCTCTTCATGGTCGGGGAGGTGATAGGTAAGGGGGCCGAGGCGGGGCGGGTGGCTGCCGGCAGGGCGAGGGGTGCCAGCTGCTCTTTGCCCGCAGGTGGGTACTTGGCGCACAGCCTGGCCATCATGACGGACGCGGCCCACCTGCTGACGGACGTGGGCAGTATGTCCGTGAGCCTCTTCTCCCTTTGGGTCTCCACCCGCCCACCCACCAAGACCATGACCTTCGGCTGGCACCGCTCAGGTGAGCCGAGGGGCACAGCCCTGCCGGGCTCCACGGGAGGCACAGCTCCATGGCACCCCCATGGCAGCGTGGACACTTAGGGCTCCTGTCCCACAGAGGTGTTGGGTGCGCTGGCCTCTGTCCTCTCCATCTGGGTTGTGACCGCGGCCCTCGTCTACCTGGCGGCCGCCCGCATCATCAGCAACGACTACGAGATTGAGGCGCGAGCCATGCTGGCCACATCCGCCTGTGCCGTTGGCGTCAACCTGGTGTATGTCCCACGTGGCCCCTGCGCACCTTCAGCCTGAGCCCTGCCCCATGCGTGCCCCTGGTACCCCCAGACCCCCAGCCTGGTCCCCTTCTGCCCCTGTGCGCCAGCCTTACGTCCCCAAGTTCTGCCTCCTCCTCTTCTCTGTTACCTCCCTATGCTTGCAGCTTGAAGTCCACGTGCTTACATCCCCATGCCCCACATCCCCTGGCCGCCCAAGCAGCACCTTCTGAGCCCTGGCACAAGCCCCGGGCCCAAATCCCTGCCCAGTCCCACGCACCTCCCAGGAGTGCTGCAGCTTCCTTGGCTGTGCTGTACCTCCAGCCCCCCTCCCCTCCACCGTCCTGGGACCCAGCTGTGCCTGCCTGTGCCCCCTTTGCCCGTGCAGGGCAAGGCAGGACCAGTGGAGCCCCATGCCAATGCGGCACTGAGCCAGCCCTGCTCTCCCCAGCATGGCCTACATCCTGCACCAGTCCCCCGCCGGCCATGGCCACGGCACAGTGGGCTATGAGCAGCTGGAGAGCTCTGGGGGGTGCCAGCCCAGCCGTGCCCCCCTGCCTGGCAGCACCAGCGTGCGGGCAGCCTTCGTCCACGTGGTTGGTGACCTGCTGCAGAGCGTCGGTGTCCTCGTGGCTGCCACTATCATCTACTTCAAGGTGCCCAGGCTGGACTCCACCTGCACTGTCTGCAGGAGCAACTCCCACAGCCCCATGCAGGGTGCCCTGGGGACCACACCCCCAGGGGCCCAGCTCAGCTCTGCCCCCCAGCCTAACACTGACCCCACTCTGCAGCCTCAGTGCAAGATTGCAGACCCCATCAGCACTCTTTTCTTCTCGGTCTTTGTCCTCGGTTCCACCTTCACCATCCTCAGGGATGTCTTCAGGGTCCTCATGGAAGGTGAGTGGTGAATGAGGGGGGCACAGAGGCTCCCAGGGCTGCAGCTGCTGCAACACTTTGCCCATGAGGCAGCTCACCTCTGCTCACCCCAGTCCACTCCTCCGTCCTTCCCTTGCCCCTCAAATATCCCCAGCCCTTCCTCCCCATTCCAGGTACGCTGGCCCCACTGTGCCCAGCTTAGTCCCCCTGGGGAAGTCCCCAGCCTTGGCAGCTCCCACCAGGAGCCCTGGTCCAGGTGGGGGCTGTGGCTGGAGGCCAAGGGTGGCCCCCAGTGACCAGGTGGTGCTGGCAGGGACACCACGGGGCACCGAGTTCGATGCGGTGAAGGAGGTGCTGCTGGAGGCCAGCGGGGTGCAGAGTGCCCATGACCTGCACCTCTGGGCGCTGACGCCGAGCCACCCTGCTGTGTCAGTGCACGTAGCTGTGGGTGAGTGACCTGCACAGGGCACGGCCGGGGGTCCCCCTGGCCATGCCTGGGCTGAACCCCTGCCCTGCTGCCCCCAGAGGCTGGCGCCGACCCTGAGATGGTGCTCTGGGATGTCACTGCCCGGCTCCAGAGCAGGTTTGGCTTCGCATCTTGCACCGTGCAAGTAGAGCAGCACCGGGAGGAGACAGCAGCCTGTCCCCACTGCCAGGACCCCCATGCTTGAGACCCCTGCCTGCCGCTGCACTGGGCCTGGCCTAGCCTTGGCCGCCCCTGCCCTGGAGCAGGCCAGTGCTTGGGGTGCTGTCCCCTGCTGTCCCCACCCCACTGCTGTGTAGCCCTGGAGTGCAACAATGCCCTCGGTGCACGGTCCTGGGTGGGACGAACACATGGCCTGGCTCCAGCAGCACAGGGGCTCCCTGGGATCCTCCACTCACCGCTGTGCCACAGCCTCTGAAGAAAGGGGATCCTGCCCCACCACCCACCCCCACGGAGCCCTGCTGTCCTGGCAGGAACAGGTGTCCCCTGTGGGGGACCCTAGATGTCGCCTTGGACCCAGATGCTTGTGCCCCCATCACCCCCTTTGCAGCTGCCCAGGCTTGGGGAGGGCAGGCCAGAGGAGCTGCTGCAACCCCCAGGTGCGGGGGGCTGGGGCAGCCAGAGCCCAGAGCTCAGCCCGCCGCTGGCTGCTGTGCCAGGGCCTGATCCATCCCCCTTGCTGAGTTGTGTCTGTGCCGCTGGTGTCCATCTGCCTGTCTGTGCCAGCAGCAGTGTCAGCACTGCCAATAAATGTGTTGGAGAAGCAGCAGTGGCGCAGGAGCCAGAGGGGCACAGGGAAGGGGACGGTGGGGTTGGCACTGGACCCCCCCAGTCATGGCCACAGCCACAGCTGCCCTACTGCTGGCACCTCCACAGCTGTACAAAATCAACCACCTTTACTGCACAGCTGAACACAGGCTCAATGTGAGCAATTCCAAAGCTCCCAGCCCGCTTCCTGCCCCTTGGAGCAGAGCGGGGCCAGAGGCGAGCGCAAGCACAGCCCCACGCCAGTGGGGCCCACGGGCACTTCTGTGGGGTCAGACCCACAGCTCGACCCCAGTACATGCGGCAGTCCCACCACCCCCACCCAGCTCAGGCCAAACAGTGCAGACAAATCCTTCCGGGTCCGGAAGACGTGTCTGGAGGATCCCAGGAGCAGCTGGGAGCAGCCGGCCCTCCCACAGCAGGGGCCCAGCAGGAAGGCAGCCCCAAGAGGGGCCACAGTCCCTGGCCAGCACAGCTGGCCCCAGGCCCTGCCTAGGGTGAGCACCACAAGGGACCAACCCCCCTACTCCACTGGCAGTGGGGAGCACTCGGGGGGGCTGGGGCTGCCAGGCACATCCCTGTAGAGGGAAGCGAAGCGGGCCTGGCACTCTGGGAGCAGCCGGTGGTCCACGCCGGAGGCCAGCCCTGCGAGTCCAGGTTGGGGCTGAAGCGCACCTGTGGGAAGAGGGGGATTTGGGAGGCAGGGGCTGAGGCACCGGGATCTTGGGCCCCCCAGCAGTGCTGCTGCTGCAGGGCTAGGGCTGGGGCTGGGCCTGGCCCCCTCACCTTGTGCAGGGCCTCCAGCTGCAGGCGGTCGAGGCTCAGCTCTGCCTTCACCTCCTGTGTGTGCATCCTGCGCATGGGCTCCCGGCTCAGGAAGTTCTGAAAGCTGCGCTGGAAAGTGGTGGCACCACCTTGGGCTGCGGGCCCGGGGCAGGAGCACTGCAGGCACCATGGTCCCAGCTCTGCCAGAGGTGAGGTGCTGCCCCAATGCCCCAGCAGCGTCTCTTGGTCCTGCCACCCCCAAAGCCCAGCCACAGCCCCACAGGCCCCACTCATGTGGCTGGACCACCAGCTGCACCCTGCCCTCTCCTACCAGGTCTGTGTCCTGGAATTGGATGTAGCTCCTGGCCACCATCTCGCTGTAGCACCGGGTCCTGGGCAGCGCCTGCTCAGTGCCCTTGGGCCCGGTAGGGCTGCAGGGTAGCAGGTTGGCTTTGTACACTGGCTGTGTAGTGTAGAGAGGGGCTCAGGGCAGGGTAGGGGTCCTGCTGCTCCTCTGCAGGCAGGGGCCACAAGGGATCAGCAGTGTGGGGGGCCCAGGACGCTCTCCCCATGCCCCCTCCCTCCCTGGCTCCCCGTGTGCTGGGCCAGGCTCCCTCCCTACCCCAAAACACAACAGCCTCTTACAAATCTGCGGTCCAAGGAGCGCTTGACATTAAGGGGGCTGATGGCCAGGTCAGGCAGCACCGCAGCCACCAGCTCGCCGGTGATGTCACCCGCAGCCACTGTGTTCAGCCAGTCCGAGCCAGAGACGCTCTGCAGGGACAGAGGGCTGGAGGGTGTGGGGGTCCCCACCACCCCCAGCCAGGCAGTGTCACCCACCCCCACCTACGAGCCCTGGGTCCCAGCTGCTGCTGACCTTGCCCCCGGGGACATAATGGCCCCACACCAGCCCTTACCCACACAGTGCCCTTGCGAGGGGCCACGAAATAAGCCTTGAAGCCCAGGTACCCGGCGTCGATGAAGTGGATCCCGCAGAGCCCATACCTGCGGTGAAAGGGACAGGTTAAGGACAGAGCTCTGTGCTGCCACCAGGACTGCACAAGCCAGGCACAGCCCATCTCCCCCCAGATGCTGGTGGCGGGGAGCCGCCCTTACTCTAGCAGCATGTCACAGGGTGACGAGGCAGCTCAGGGCAGCTCCTGGAGACTGAGAACTCACCAAGACCCCAGACCCTTTCAGCAGGACCCCTGCTGCCCTGCCCAGGGGCTAGCTATCCCCTGGCCCACCCTGCCTGTGCCCCAGGATGGCATGGGAGAGGGGACGTCACACTGTGCCGCTGTGGTGTGACCCAGCACGAGCAGAGCCTGCCCTTGCCACGGCACAGTTGGACAGTCCCAGGAAGGGGGAGGCCAGAGGGGCCCATGGGGGGTTGAATCAGGCCCCAGCAGTGGAGTTGGACCCCGGCACTCACGAGGCATAGCAGTTGTCCTGGGCCACAGTGATGCCGTTGTAGGGCAGCAGCCAGGCCACCTCAGTGCTCAGGAACCGCTTGATGCTATTGATGGGCTCGTAGAGCCGCCGCAGGTCCCAGAACTTGATCTTGCGGTCACTGCCTGCTGTGACCAGGAAGTTGCTGAGAAGCAGGAGAAAGGTAGCACTGAGAGCCCAGCGCAGAGCGGTGGCCTGTCCTGGTGCAGGCTCCAGGTGGCCCGGGTCCCCCAGTGGCTCTACTGCCCTCACCACAAAAAGCCCAACCCAATCCCTCCAGTGCTGCAGAGGGCCAAGAGTCATTGGCACCATGGCCTCCTAAGCCCCGCTGAAGGAGGGAGCCACTCTCCTAGCAGCACCTCACCTGTTGGCCTTGCACCACTCGATGCTCCGGACCGCGTGGTCGTGGGCCAGGAAGCACTGGAAAGGGTAAAGCTTGACAGAGGCATCGGGCTGGTGCACACACTGCAGCAGGGACTTGGTGAGCAGGTTCCAGATGGCCACAGTGCCTGTGGAGAGACCCGTGTCCCTGAGGTGCTGCTGAGAGCACAGGTGCTGCAGTGTGGGATGGACAGTGGCACAGGCAGGACTGTGGAATACGCCAGCCAGGCTGGAGCTATGGCTCCAAGCAGGACAGGATGGTAGCAGGACCTGGCAGCAGCACGGGCAGGGCTGTGGGAGCTGTGGAACACAGCAGCCAGGTGGGAGCTGGGACCAGGGCTCAGAGCAGGACAGAATGGCAGCAGGACCTGGCAGGACAGCACAGAGCTGCAGATCACTGGAAGGCTGGCAGAAAATTCCATCCAGGTAAGTTGAACAGATGTGGATTAGGCCAGAGCCATATTCTGGAGCTGACAGGTATGTGAGGGTGACGGTGGTCAGCCCAGAGAAGCCTTCCCCCACCCTAGGGATGGGCAGGGGTTCCAGCACAGTGCCCACTGCTGGCTGCTGCTCCCCCCATCCCTCACCCCTGGGGTCCCCGTTCCCTGCCCCAGACAAGGATGAGGGAGCTCCAGAGTCTGCCAGGGCGAGGGCTGCTCTCCGAGTGCTGCTGTGGGACGCAGGAAAGACTCACCGTCATAAAACCCTGCTGCCAGGTGATGGTGGGGCTTGGAGGGCATCCAGGAGAGGCTGAAGCACTGCCCACACTCAGATGCATTCCCTGCCCGGATGGAGCCCACCTGGAGCGTGGCAATGCACTGCACCTGGGGGCCAAAGGACAGCCCTGGGTCACAGCCTGGCACTGAGGCCATCCATGCTCTGAGAGCTGGGATGGGCAGGGTGGGAGCACAGCTCTGCTCTGCCCATCCAATGCTCTGCAGGTGCCCCGGCTCCCCCCCAACTCTCCCACCTGCACCAGCCAGAGGGCTTGCTGGGTGCTGGCCCCGACAGGGACCACCATGGTGGGGGACACTGACCTTGCAGATAAGGTGCTTGTGGAGGGGCCCATCTAGAAGAGAGCAGAGTGGGGTCAGGGCAGGCACCAGTTTTCTGGGAGCTCCCTGCCTGGAGCCTGGATTGCAGCTCCCCACGGCCTTGGCCAGGACTCCTGGTTCCTGTCCTGCCACCCACCCAGAGCAGTGTCCTCAGCACAGCAGGCACCAGAGCACATGGAGCACCAAACCCAAGAGCCAGCAGGGGTAGGACCCCAGCCAGGCTTGCCTGTGCAGGAGGAAGCAGCCCACTGAAAGGCACTGCAGGCAAAGGTGAGGTAGGGCTGACATGCCCCCACCCCACCATGACTGGCACCAAAGTCAAGGGCACACGGTAATATGCAAGGGCCAGACCTGACTGTGACCACCCTGGGGAGGGAAGGAATGGCTATGTAGGCAGGACATCTGCTCCATGGGGTGATGGGGCTGAAGCAGGCAGAACTCCTGGGGAAGGAAGGCTGCAGAGACCCTGTGCCCAACGGCTCAGAGTGAGGTGCCCACGGGACCCCCACACACCAGCTCCATCTGCCAGAAAATCCCCCCCACCAGCAACACCTGACATGCATGCTGTGAGGACCCTGTCCCACACCCCTCAGGCCTGCAGTCCCCCTGCCCCAAGCCTGGGGCTGTCCCTTGGCACAGCAAGCAGCAGACAGGCATGTCCTAGCCCAGAGCGTGGCAGCTGTGGGTGGAGGCATGGAGGAGCCATGCCCCTTCCCCAGCACAGCTGTGACAGCTGGGACACGGTGCAGAGACCAGTCCCGGGCTCTGCCAGGCAGGAACACCGGGTGTGGGTCCCTGGTGCCCCAGGGACAGCCAGCATAGCCACGCCAGCCTGGATGCTGCCGGCAGGGCTCAGCACCGCAGTCTGGCGCCGATCCCGTGGCCGGGCATCAGCGCCAGTCTGCCTGTGAGGCACAGGGATGGTGTGTGCAGCTGCAGCTATCGATGTGCTGGGCCCCAGCCGGTGGCAGGAGCCGGGGGGCCCCCCTGCCACGAGGTGCCACACAGGCGCTGCGGCAGAGGCCCATCCGCCCGCGGCTGACACAGGCAGAGCCAACGTGCCGCGGGGGCTGGGAGCTGCACCAGGAGCCCATTTCCCACTGTCAGTGTGGACGTGCAGGCTGTCGGCCACGGCTGAGCGCCCACCGCCAGCACGCGCTGGCCATCAATCCCGCCCGGCTCCGGCACAGCCTATTACAGGCACCATTAGTCTGAGCCGGCCCAGCCAGGCTGGAGGGAGCAGCTCCAGCAGCAGGACATGCTCCCTGCGGCCAGCAGGGATGTGGAGAATAGCTGGGGAGACGTTGTGTGGCTGCACAATATGCTGCATCCCACCACAGCCACAGCGACACTGCCAAGAGCCCCCAGCTTTGGGGGCTGCCTGCGAACCCTGTCCCAGTCAGCCTGCTGCAGCGTCCCCAGGACTGAACCAAAGCAGCACTGTACATCCTCTGACACCAAAAAGCAGCCTTGGACCCCCACACTGTGCCCTGTGCCAGATGCCAGGCTGGGGGCAGCAGGGCCCCAATCCTGGAGGTAAGGTGGGCTCACTGCCCCATCATGCAGCTCCTGGGCTGGGACACGGTCCTGCTCGGCAGTTCCCCAGCACAGTGGGCTACTGTGGGCAGGGGAGCTCCAGCCCCAGGGTTTGCAGGCCCACCCCAGCACAGTGGGAGGAGGGCCAGGATGCCCCTACTGGGCGGCGCAGCTCTTCCTACCTTTTACCTGGGTTGCCTTGGCGCGGTGCAGGGCCCCGGGGTGGGGCAGGGCGTACACCACCACCCTGCCGTCTGAGAAGGCGGCAGCCAGCAGGCCCAGCCGGCTCATCTGCGGGTGCTGGAGAAGGACAGACAGGCTCAGCCCTCAGGCCACCCCTCAGGACCCTCAGGGAACCCAAGGTGAGTGCTTTGGGCAGCACTCACCATCCGGGCCGTGGTGGGCGGCTCCCAGGCCCCGCTGGGGCAGAACTTCATGTCCCAGACACAGCCGTGGTCAGCAGCGATGGCGTAGGCCAGCCTGGCTTTGTCAGGAGAGCTGCGGGCACAGGTCTGGCCATGAGGAACACGACAGCTGTTGCCCAGCAACTCCAGTAGACACAAGTGCATGCCAGTAGCAGAGCTGGCCACCAGCACAGCCCCCATGGGGTTCAGGCCACAGCTCTGGGAGAGGATCAGCCTCACCACCCACTCAGCCATGGAGAGACACAAGGTCCAGGCCCTGCCCCATCCCTGGGCAGCCCCTGGCCCCTTCCCCAGGCCCCTTCCCCAGGCCCTGCCACTCACCCCTGCTCTGGCTGCAGCGCACCCAGGTCCCAGAGCTGCAGGAGCGTGGGGCCTGTGTGCAGCCCAGCCACGCTGTGCGTCTCCTCCATGCTCCTGTGGCAGGACACGGCCACGTACTGTGGGGCTGCCGAGCCCTCGGGGGTCGGACACCACTCCATCGCCCACACCGGGCCACCCACAAAGAAGGAGATGTCCAGGCGCTCTGGGTGGGGCTGCAGGGAGCTGAACCTGACAGCGGGAGAGGGATGAGGGCTGCTGGGACCCCAGGGCGCAGCACAGACCAGCTGCCCGCCCCATGGATGAACCTGGGGGCCACTGCCAGTCCTGGGCAGGTCAGCCACCGCCCCACAGGGCCTGGGGACTGTCACATACCTGTTTATCCTATACAAGGCACCATCGTCCTCAATGCCCTCACGCTGGATGGAGAAGAGGGGAGACTCCTCCTCTGCTGGCAGGTATGGGGCAGCCTCACTGTGTAGGCAGAAGGTGAGACACGTCCCTGCCCCTCACCGAGTCACCCCAGCACTGTCCCAGCCTCTGTGTGACCCCCACAGCTATGGAGGCTTCACAGGCAAATCCAAGAGACCCCCAAAGCCCACAGCAGAGAGGTGTGGGAGCAAAGGTTTGGCCACTTGCTCACTCACTCTGCACACTGCTGGGACCTGCCCCACTTCCCCCCAGTCCCACTCCCTCTCCTTCTGCTCCAACGGTACCTGTCAGAGAGACACATCCACCTGTGTGCCACTGGGATCCAGTCTGGGAACTCCCAGTGCGAGTGCTTCTGCTCCCGCCTGCAGTGTGTGACAGGCCTCAACCACGGCCCCCTGCCTGGCACAGCCAGCACCCCCTGCCCTCACCCTCCCCACGGCACAGCCAGCACCCCCTGCCCTCACCCTCCCCCACGGCACAGCCAGCACCCCCTGCCCTCACCCTCCCACGGCACAGCCAGCACCCCCTGCCTGTGGCACAGCCCCTGCCCTTGCCCACAGCCCCTGGCCCAGCCCTGCCCCATCCCAGTGGAACACCCAAAGGTTTCTCTGCCCTTGGGCCCGTGCCAGTGACGGTACCAGGGCACCAATGATCATCCCGTGGCCCCCTGGGCCCCCCAACCCCCTGCTCACAGGCTGCAGGTGAGGCTGGAGCTCTTCTCCACTGGGGCCATGATGGAGTTGGGGAAGCCGTTGGGAGCGAGGCCTCGGTACTGGGACTTGGATCTCTGGAAACAAGAGCAGACTCAGAGCAGGCCCCAGATGTCCCCTGAGCCTGGGGGGACCCACCTATCCCAAAGAGTACCATCTCAGCCCCTAAGAACAGGGCTCTCCCCAGCCACTGTCACCATGCCATGCTGGGCTAAAGACACAGAGACCCACTGCAGGGACTTCCAGGATGCCAGGACCCCTCCAGGATCCACCTCCACCTCTCAGTGCTCCAGCAGGAGCCCAGGCTCCGCTCCCTCTCCCAAATTACCTGTCCCTGCTCCCATCCCCATTGCCTGTGGCCCTGTGGCACCCATGTCCTGCCCCAGGGCTGTCCTGCCCCTGTCACTGCTGTCACACCCGGAGCTGTTCGTGCTGGGACACAGCTGAGGGGCCCAGGCAGAGCCCCTGCCCTCACCCCTGCAGCCGCTGTCCTCCCGCTGTGCCCTCGGGACGCCTCCAGCTCCGGCTCTGATGCCTCACTGAGCATCACATCACTGCCTTCCTCCTCCTCCTCCTCCGCCTGCAGCACCTCCTGCGAGGGCACGAAGTCGGCATCTCGGGCAGGGTCGTCGCTGTCTGTGTCCTCCTCCTTCCTCCGCCGGCTCCGGCGCTTCCCCTGGACGCGCTCGGGCTCTGGCTCTGGGGCCTCCTCAGTGGGAGCAGAGGGCTGGCACACGGACATCAGCTCCGCCGCCAGCTCCTGCAGGTACAGCAGAGCCCTGGGAGCCAGGACAGTGTCCAGAGCTGAGCACGGGGCAGCACAGGGACAGCCCTGCCCCTCCGGCCCCTGGGCTGGGGGGGAATCTGCTCCAGCTGAATCACATCCCACCAGCACAGGGCCCCCCAGCAACCTCCTCCTGCTTCCTCAGGAACCAAGGAATCTCCCAACGCCCTGGAGCCAGTGCTCCTGGGTGCAAACACATTCCTTAAAGTGGGAAGTGATCATCCTGTGGGGAATCAGTTCAGGCCACCAAAGCAGGACAACGCCCCACGGGGAAGACACCGAGACCCCTTGGGGGAGGCAGAGGCTGTGGAATCATGGATTCAGGGGATGGTTTGGGTTGGAAAAGACCTTCTTATCCCACACCCTGCCATGGGCAGGAACACCTTCCACCATCCCAGGTTGCTCCAAGCTCTGTCCAATGTGGCCTTGGACACTTCCAGGGATGGGGCAGCCACAGCTTCTCTGGGCAACCTGAGCCAAGGCCTCACCACCCTCACAGCCAAGAATTCCTTCCCAAAATCCCATCTAACTCTGTCCTCTGGCAGTGGGAAGCCATTCCCCTTGTCCTGTCCCTCCAGGCCCTTGTCCCAAGACCCTCTCCAGCTCTCCTGGAGCTGCTTTAGGCCCTGGAAGGAGCTCTCAGGTGTCCTGGAGCCTTCTCTTCCCCAGGTGAGCACTCCCAGCTCTCCCCCAGGTGCCCGACCCCCACTGCCACCCCAACTTACACTTTGGCTGCCCTCCTCTTGGGCCGCCCGCCCTGGGGGGTATCCAGGCCGGCCCCCTCCTCGCTGCTCCCCAGCATCTTCTGCACCCGGATGGGCTCCCGGGGCTGGGACAGCTCCAGCAGCAGCACCTCGGCCTTGCCTGTCCCGCCGCGCTTCCCGGGAGTCCCCGGGGACGGCACCGCCCCGTTAGCAGAGGTCTCGCCGCGCCCCTCCGCCGCCCCATCGCGGTTGATTCGGGGCCGCACGGGTTTTTTCGGGGATTTGGCAGCTTCTCCTCCACCGTCACAGTCCGGATCTCCCGGCGGCGACTCTTGCCCTGTCCAGAAACACCGGAATCAGCGCCAACCCCCTGCAGGACTCCCCGGCACGTCTCGGTGCACGCCCCGCAGCACCGGGCGCGGCGGCACCGCTTCGTGCCCCGAGGAGCCGCCCTGCCCCGCCACCCCCGATACATACGGAGCGCTCGCTGTTCACCCTCCCGCTCCCCACTACGGCTCCGGCTGCGCCCGGCGGAGCTCAATGCCCGTCGCAGCCGCCCTCGGCGGCTCCGCTCCCGGCAGCGCGGCCCGCGGGCGGCGCTTGACGCCATCAGGGGCTCCCGGAGCCGCCGCCCCGCTGAGGGGCCGCGCCGCCAGCACCGAACCGGAACCGCCAGTGGCGCTGGATGATGACGTAACGGAGCTGTGCCCTAACGGGGCGGGGCCACGGAGATCTCTAGAGCAGCAGAAGGGGCGGTGTTCGTTGTGGGGCGTGTCCATGCAAATCAGCCCTGCCGCACGGGACGCCGGGACGCGGCCCCCTCTAAGACTCCGCGGCCACGCGCGTCCGCGGGCGCTGCGAGGGGCGGGGCCGTGCGGGACGGTGGGGAACGCGAGGCCGGACGGGTGCGAGGCCGGGTCGGCGGTGAGCGTGTGTTAGGGGTGGGTGCGCGGTGCGGGGCCGGTGGGGGTTGGGTTGGACAACTCATACTTACCTGGCAGGGGAGACACCATGATCAGGCAGGTGGTTTTCCCAGGGCGAGGCTCATCCCTTGCACTCCGGGTGTGCTGACCCCTGCGATTTCCCCAAATGCGGGAAACTCGACTGCATAATTTGTGGTAGTGGGGGACTGCGTTCGCGCTCTCCCCTGATAATCGCGGTTCAAAGATAGATTCATGAAAAGGTCGTAACCGAAAGTTACTCTGTATTATTGTCTCCGCTCTTGGCCGGGGCCGCAGATTCCCGGATGATTTCTTACCCCCAAAACCGCGTGAAGCCCCCGTACTCCGCAGTCCCGGCACTTGTAGGACCAGGTGCTACCCTGGGGATCCCTCTGATGGATTCGGGCTCTGCCCCGCCGGGCAAGTCTCGCCCCCGGCGTAGGGACCCGCCCGTCCCGATCGGGGCTCTTTCCGTGCGGGAGCGGTAGGAAAGCGGAGCCTGCGGGACTGGAACGGTCTCGCCTCTCCCACCGAGAAGCGGCGCCGGCTCTACCCCGCGCTCGGGCTGCGGCGGACGGCAGTACTGGGGTCGATCCCCCGAGTGCGACGGAGCGGGGGAGAGACTTTGTCCGACTTGTGTTTGGACAAGATGCGTCCAATTCCCGCCCCCGGGAAGTCCGTTTGCGCTCACGGACCCGACGGGTGTGATCCGGACGGGGCTCACGGAGCGGCACCGGCATTGCCGCGCCCCCTGCGCGGACTCACTCCCGCGGGTGGTTCCCGGGATGTGCAGACACGGGGTGGGACAGGCCGGTATCATCCTGGCTCCAGACGCGGCAGCCCAGAGCCCGCCCTTAGGGATCCGCTGGCCAGTTCCAGCCGGGAATGTGGATGCGTCTCCCGGGCATCGGCAGTGCCTGTTCGGAGAGAGCATTCCGGGATGCCCCAGGACCCCGAGCCTCACACCGGGAGCGGGACTGGGTTCCCCTCGCTGCCTTCCCGCCCTTCCAGAGGGTCCCACACCCCTTCGGATTTCACCCCTGACACTCGCGGTCCCAAGTCCTGCTGCTCCCCTGTCCCTCGCCCCGTCCCGGTCCAGCACCGGGCTCTCGGCTGTCTCCCCGCGGCCGCACGAGTCCCCTTCAGTTCCACTCAGGAACCGAGTACTACCTTGGAACACCGACAGATTGACAGGTCACCCGTTACCTGCCGCGATGTAACATCTATCTTTGAACCGGGAAGGAGAGCAGCGATCCACGGCCCGACCGCGGGTTCGTGCGGAATGGTTGAGAGGGGCCGGGAGAGCCGGAGCTGGCCTGAGCCGAACCGGGACGCGAGGACTCGAAGTTGACCTCGTAACCTGGGGAATCAATATGAGAACATCAACGCTGAGAACTGCGGAGACAGGAATCTGCTGCTCCTTCCTCAACCATGAAACTATCTTTGAACCGCGATTATCAGGGGAGAGCGCGAACGCAGTCCCCCACTACCACAAATTATGCAGTCGAGTTTCCCGCATTTGGGGAAATCGCAGGGGTCAGCACACCCGGAGTGCAAGGGATGAGCCTCGCCCTGGGAAAACCACCTGCCTGATCATGGTGTCTCCCCTGCCAGGTAAGTATGAGTTGTCCAACCCAACCCCCACCGGCCCCGCACCGCGCACCCACCCCTAACACACGCTCACCGCCGACCCGGCCTCGCACCCGTCCAGCCTCGCGTTCCCCACCGGCCCGCACGGCTCCGCCCCTCGCAGCGCCCGCGGACGCGCGTGGCCGCGGAGTCTTAGAGGGGGCCGCGTCCCGGCGTCCCGTGCGGCAGGACTGATTTGCATGGACACGCCCCACGCCGAAAGCCGCTCGTAGCCGCTCCGCCGTTTGAGACGCGATTTGCATGGCCCCGCCCCCCGCCAGGCCCCGCCCCCGAGGTGCCGCGGGCCCCGCTGCCGGCGGGACGCGGTCCGTGCCCGGTGCCGGGGCAGCACCGACCGAGGGTCCCCAAGGCCTCACTACTCCGAGCATTGTCCGCCGCCGCGCCGGCCCCCCGCGTGAAGACCCCACTGGCCACGGCAGGAGGGGCCCAGACTCTTCCACTGTAGCCCAGCTCGGACGGGCTGCCAAAAGCTGAGGAGGCTGAGCCAGGGGCCATCACCACAGTGTCCCTGTTTTCCCAGTTCCCAGAGGAGGGCCCCAGGGACAAAAAAGACCCTTCCGCGCTGCAGCCTGGAGCAGGAAGAAAAGGGCTGGGGCCAGCACACCCCAAGGAAGGAGCTGAGCTATCCCAGTGATGACACCGGTGCCAGGGCTCTCTCTGCCACACCACAACAAACAGCATACATAGGGTACTGTGGGCCTGGTTTATTACTGTCCATGCAGCTGCCCTGGCTACTGATCCACGTTCTTGACACGCAGGACCACAGGCACTGAGGTGCAGGGGATCATGCCCAAGTCCGTGATGACCAGATCCACCAGGTCTGGGGGTGTCACGTCATAGACCAGGTTGAGGAGGCGCAGCGCCTTGTTCTCTGCCCAGCCCCCCAGCTGGGCCTGGCCCTTCCGGAGCACAATCAGGTCGTCAGGGTCATCTGTGGACAGAGAAGCAACTTGCAGGATCAGGGGGAAGGATAGCACCTCTCCATCTTGCCCTGGGAGCACACACCGCTGCTGCCTGCCAGGCCCCCCGACTACGAGCGGTGTTCCCGCGCCCGGGAAGCGGAATGGCAAGGCAGAGCAGCCTGTCGTGGTCCACAGCAAGGAGTGGGATGATGTCCCAGGTGGGAGGAAGGGGATACAAGCCATACCCAGCTCATTGGAGACAAAAGAGTCCGTCTGCACTCGCTCACAGAACTTGTAGGTCTCGCAGCAGACCAGGACGGGCACGTTGTAGGCCTTGGAGACCAGCGCAATCTGTGACGTCCCCACCCGGGACATGACAGAGCCATTGGCCAGGAGCGCATGGGCTCCCAGCAGCACTTTGGACACCTGCCAGGGCAGCACAGGGCATCTGTCAGTACCTCTGATCGTGCCGCAGCCCGCTCCGCGCCCGGCCGCAGCCCGACCCCTCACCTCAGGCAGCACATAGGAGATGGCGTTGATCATCACGTAGGTGCAGTGGATGCCCTGGCGCACCAGCCGGCGCAGCGTCTCCCGGCCCTCCAGGCGCGGCCGACTGTCCACCACGACCACGCGGAACGCGCGGCCCTTCTTTGCGTGGGCGTCGCACAGCGTGCGGTTCACCAGGGAGGAGCTGATGGGCGCCATCAGGAGCTGCCCCCTCACGCCAGGACAGGCTCTCACCTGGCCACAACATCCACCCTCGCCCTCACAAGTGCTGCCCCATCCAGAACCTTCCTGCCACGATGGCTCCCAGGGCCCCTCTCCCTGCCTCTGTACAAGGAACCATCCCTGGGAAAGGCGATGTCTCAGCCCTCCCTGAAGCAGCGCTGACCTCCCCATCTGTGACCACCATGAAGCCTCTGCCTCTCCAAACTCTCTCCCAATTTCCCTCTCCCAATGCTCCAGGCACACACATTGGCCTCCTGCCTCCGCTCTTTCCTCCATCCAGGACACACATCACACCTGGACTCTTTCCCCAGCAGTCTCTGGCTCCTTTTCCCACCTCTACTTCTGGGACACAGGCTCCCAAAGGAAGAATAAGCTCCCATATTTTTGCTTTCTAAGATTTGACTTTGCTACAGTTCGTTTAAAATCCAGTGAACAGCCACAGCTGCTCTGCAAATGCCCTGGGTGGAGGGAGCTGCGACTCTGGGGTTCTTGGAACCCAACTCTGGATGCACCATATGGGACAGAGCCAAGCCCTGCATAGGACTAGCACAGCCTCACTTTTCATGCTCGCTTCCGTGCTGTTCCATTCCCTCCTCCCACCCACTGGCCTGGCTGCTCGTGCTCTGTGCTCACCATCCGTACACCAGGATCACATCATTGTCATTGATCTTCTCAAAGGCAGACCTTGAGATGGCTTCAGCTGCCAGGACAATCTTCTCCCGCAGGTATTTGTCAATTGTGTCCTGCAGCTTCTCCTTTGCCTGGGGAGACACAGACATCTCATACAGACCTTCTTGCTCTCTGCAGCTCCCTGTTGGAGCCAGGTGGGGGTTGGTCTCTTCTCCAAAGTAACAAGCTTCCAACTCCACTGAAGCACCATTCCCAGTCTGCATCCCACCCATGCTCCCAGTCTGCATGCCACCCCACTCCCCATTCAGCCTCTCCATCCCAAGCCTAGAGCCTGCTGCTCATCAGGGCCACTCACCTCCTCCTCTCGCAGGGTGTCAGGCAGGCACGAGATCTCCTTCTTAAGGAACTTGATGGCGTTGCCCATGCTGGCTGAGAGCGGCCGGCACTGGTTCAGGAAACTGCAGAGGAAACTGGCTTAGCTACAGAGCAGCCTGGAGGGCTAAGACAGGGACAGGGAGGGTGGGCAGGGAGGCAGAACTGCTGGGAAGTCACCCGAAGTTTGGATGGACACCTATCCAGAGAGGTGACTGATGGACCACAGTGTGGAGCTTTGGCACCTGGAGCCCTCACCTGATATGCGGCTTCAGCTTCGCCACCAAGTCCCGGGACAGCTCCTCGTTGGGGGGAGTGGAGTAATCCCGGATCAGCTGGCACAAGAAGGAAGGGGGCATGAGCTCAGGGCACCTCAGGGTAGGGCACACGACCACCCTGCCCAAGGGGCTGCAGCCCAAACGTGTGTGTGTCCTGCATA